TGTGTGTGTCTGTTACTGCCTGTGTGTGTGTGTTACTGCCTGTGTGTGTGTGGCTACAGATGAGGATACAGATGTGGGAGCAGTGACACCCGACAGCCCAGATGCGGAAGACAAGGCGACGTTTTAAAGCACCTCCCTGCGTCTTTTGGTCCAAGAGGCGTGGCCGTGGTTACCTTACGTCCTACTCGCCATGGCAACAGGTCACACTGGTCGGGATGACGCGCCGAACCTGTCTTCCTCTTCCTCGGGGGTCTTCATCTTCCTCGGGGGTCTTCCTCTTCCTCGGGGGTCTTCATCTTCCTCGGGGGTCTTCCTCTTCCTCGGGGGTCTTCATCGGGGGTCTTCATCTTCCTCGGGGGTCTTCATCTTCCTCGGGGGTCTTCCTCTCGGAGAAGCTGCGGTTGTTTCTTTGTTCATTCATTCTGATGAATAAATAAATGAATTGATCTCATATTATTGGTTCTGCTCTCGGTCCTCAGAGACGGGAACTGGATCTAGTTTTTCACTAAATTTACTGATCAATGACTCGGATCCAAAACACACATTTAGTTCTTTGCTACCTTTGTGTATTTGATCTGCAGATTTCTTCTAACTTCAGTGACCACGATGCTTCGTTTGTGTATTTAAGCAGAAGGTTTCAGAGAACTCGTATTTAAATAAATAATTGTGTCTGCGACGAGCCGCATTACTCTTTAATGTCCTCTTATATGTTTGGATTCATATCAACTGTGGTTTATAAGTTAAGATCAAACTTTCTGGGTTTATAAAAAACCACATTAGTGGAAACGTGTCGAGCTCACAGAAAGAATATTAAGATAAATAACAGACAGAGAACCAGGTGAATTAACATTAACATCAGCAAAAAAGATTCAATGTTCTCTTGAGAAATAAAGTGTCAATTACAAACATATATTAGATTAAAATATATATAAATTTAAATATAATACAATAAAAAATGGAGGAAAGTTTAAAGTTTAATATTCTTTTCATTTTTTAATTTATTGTTGGTATATTGAATGCCATTTATGAATTATTCCATAAATAAATTAATTGAAACACCTCAGACTAGCAAATCCAACATTCGCTGGTGCGAGAAACTTGAAGCTGAAGCTGATCGCTCGCGAGTTGTTTTTTTTGACAGTGAGGGGGCGGAGCCAGTCAACGGCATCTTTACATCTAATTGGTCACAAACGTCATCTTTGGATTGGCTGGATTTCATCTCTGTTGAGAGTCGTGCATTCACAGAACTACGGACCATCGCTCGGTGAGGGTCCTATTGCGTTTCTATTTGAGGGGGCCGATGCTGCGCTGTGATTGGTTTGTCTGCTTCTGAAGGGCGGGGCTTAAGGAAGGGTGGATTGGGTTCAGGCCACAGACTGTCAGAAGTGGACGTCACCCATTGGTTTCTGGTCTGCTGGTTGAATAGGCTGCTATGGGACCAGAGGAGTCGCCCCCTGGTGGTCACCGCAGAGAATGCAGCTTATCGCGTGAATCTTGTGGTCTCCCAAGTTGCTTCCTGGTTTGACTCCTTTTCAATTTCTATGCGCGTTCGTCGATGCTACGCCAGGATTGGTTCATCTGCATCTGAGGGGCGGGACTAGACGACACACAGACACACACACAGTGACGAGTTCCCTTTGAAGAAAGGCGGTTTTATTTAAATAAAGCAGGCGTTGTTTTGCTGACCTGGGCCACAGAAACAAGAGCTTGAATACTTTTCAAATCAAACACAAAAAAACATTCCGATGGCTATTTTTTGTCATTAGAAGTGAATAAAATACACAAAGACTGGTTCCCAAACGGAGGCGTCATTTTGGGCAACAAGGCGTCTTTTTTAGGTCAGGAGCTGAAGACATCCGGGGATCCGAATGGACCCGACTTAAAAATGCTGGTATTTTGAAGTTAAAAATCAATCGCACCTCTAGTTGTGAAGGGCGGTTAGAAGCAGCGTTCAAGCCGGTTTCTGTGGCCGGTTGTTTGATAGTAGCAGAAAAAGCAGAACCTCAGGTATGAAGCAGGGCCGGCCTCAACTCCCCTTAAGAACACACGGGGGCACCTGACCCCCCCAAAGGAAATCATAGAGCACTCAGTTTGATCTAATAATAACTCCATCGGCTCCATCACAAGCTTTATGGACGTTTCTCTGCTGGAACATCTCAACCTTCAGGAGAGGCTCTTTTGTTGCAGCTGGCGTGAACCCTGTCAGTGCCGTCAGCATTCTGACTTGATTCGAGTCAACGTTTCACCAAAAAGCTCTTTTGAAGACATCTCGTCTTGAAACGTTTCCTCGAGCTTCTAAAGTGACTTTGAAAATGTTAAAACCGATCAGAGCCTCCAGGTTTCACTTTGGTTGTTTTTCCAGTTTTGTTCAAAGTGTGATTTAGAAACTTGGAGACGGCTGGAGACCCAAAGGACGGATAGAGACCCGAAGGACGAATAGAGACCCGAAGGACGGATAGAGACCCGAAAGACGTATAGAGACCCGAAAGACGTATAGAGACCCGAAGGACGGATAGGGACCCGAAGGACGGATAGGGACCCGAAGGACGGATAGAGACCCGAAGGACGGATAGACACCCGAAGGACGGATAGAGACCCGAAGGACGGATAGAGACCCGAAGGACGGATAGAGACCCGAAGGACGGATAGAGACCACGAAGGACGGATAGAGACCCGAAGGACGGATAGAGACCCGAAGGACGGATAGAGACCCGAAGGACGGATAGAGACCCGAAGGACGGATAGAGACCCGAAGGACGGATAGAGACCACGAAGGACGGATAGAGACCCGAAGGACGGATAGAGACCACGAAGGACGGATAAAGATCTCAAAGGACGGATAGAGACCCCTGAAGCGGGAAAGAGAAGACATGTCAGTTTTGTAAATAGTTTAAATGTATCTGAATCGGAAAAGTTCGTGCTTCAAGAGGCCAAAGCATCTGGTGGTTGAATCTCAGGCTAACGGGGATGAGCTAGCTGTACGCGCTGAATACATTCAATCAATCATCAGAAAAATAATCAATCAAAACTATACGCCTGCAAAAATAAAAGTCTCTTGGAAGCTTCCGGCGTTTTTATCGTATTCGTTAGTTTGCAGAACGGTGCGACGATGATGCTGATAAGCTCCACCCCCCCAGGGAGGACGGAGGGGAAGCCCCTCCCCCTGGTGCCGTTTGTTGAGGCCAGCCCAGGTGTGCATTTAAAAACAGATGTTTCATGTTTAGTTGGACAAGGACACAGAAGCGATACATAAAGAAGCTCATTTCTTTCTCGGCGTGGAACGAGTTCTAAAACTACCGAGCCGACGTCCACGAACGTGCCGCAGAAAAGCCGCCCTGTTTGATCTCGTTTTGTTTTGTTACAGGAGTGTTTGAAGGGACGACCGAGACAGGAAGGACTAAAATATACCAAAGGAGGGGAACCGGGAGACAGAGGACGGAAAGTAAGAGGACAAAGTGGACGAGCGAGGGAGAGAAAGGAGACAGACACAGGGACAGGGAGGACAGGTTGATTCAGGCGGCATTCTGGATTGGAGGGTTTTCACTTTGAGTGACAACATTTCACTTGAATCCTTCTGCGCGTTTACAGCTTCTGTTGTTTGTTTGTTCCTCAGTTTCCAAAACAAAAGTTCACGACAGTCACTTGGTCGATGAGCAAGACGTGTCGATTGGCTTCAAGTTTTTACCTTTTCTGTTTTTCTCTTCTTCTTTTTCTCCAAAAAAGGATTCCAGACACAGTGGCTACAATAATAATAATGATAATAACACAATAATAACATAATAATAGCACTTGACTTCACGTCACCACAATAAAAAAAAAAAGGTCCAAAGGTGCTTTTTAGTTTATCACCTCAAAATCATCACCTCCTCCTCCTCCTCCTCCTCCTCCTCCTCCGCGGGGAAGAGGCGGATGTCCAGAGCCGGTGAGGTGAGAAGTGACTGAAGTTTTGCCGACATCTTTTTGTGTTTGTTGTTTCCACAGTAAAATAAGAGAAGACGACGCAGCGATTGTCAAGTCCATCAACCGGCGAAACAAACAAACATAAAGAACAAGAAATGAGGGGGGGCTCAAGAGGGGGGGGGGCTCATTTTACAAAATATAACAAAATCTTGTTCGCACAAATGTGCACAGATCTGTATCAATACAGGAAAACATGAAAGAAACAAAGAAACCGTATTTACAAGGAGCAGAAGAACCTTTCTTGAGTCTTTTTCCAGAGGTGGGGGGCAGCAGGGGGGGGGCAGGTCTTGGCTTTGGCACATGGCGACTTCTTGTAATTTGATTGGTTGTCGTTGTGTTACAGACAGCTGCACAAGGTCAGAGCTCGCCTCCCCTTCTCCTCGCGTCTTCCTGGGCAACGCAAGTTAAACACCACATCCCCTCGTGCGCCCGGAACACGCCTCCGGTCCCGAGTTCACAACCAGCTGGCTAACCCCCCCCCCCGACGGCTAACGACCAGCTAACGACAAGCCCCCCCCCCCGACGGCTAACGACCAGCAAACGACAAGCCCCCCCCCCCCCCCCCCCCCCCGACGGCTAACGACCAGCAAACGACAAGCCCCCCCCCCCCCCCCCCCGACGGCTAACGACCAGCTAGCGACCAGCTAATGACCAGCCAACCCCCCCAACCAGCTAGCGACCAGCTAACCCCCCCCGACCAGCTAGCGACCAGCTAACCCCCCCCGACCAGCTAACGACCAGCTAACCCCCCGACCAGCTAACGACCAGCTAACGACAAGCCCCCCCCCCCCCCCCCGACCAGCTAACGAACGCTAAGTGACAGCTAGTAGCAGCTCGATGGACGTTACTCCCCCAAACTGTGATTGCATTGTGGGTAATGTTGAATGATGAATCTGTGTAGTACGCGTTCGATAGTAGTACTCGGTGTGTTGTACATAGTATAACTGCGGATTAGCTCCAGTTCTGTAGCAGCGTCATTTATCTTCACAGATCGACCTCGAGTCGCTGCTCCAAACTCCATCTGTCAGCTTGTGAGCGACTCGCCAAGATAAAATAAAAGCCCCTTTCCCCCTTTTTCTATTTTAATTTCTTTGAACTCGTGCTTTTGTAGCGTGACCGTGGACGGGTATCTGGGGGGGGGGCAGGGTCGAGGAACGCCGAGGGCGATGTTGTGTGTGAGCCGGGATGCGACAATCAAAGCATAGCATCAAAAATAAAAGATTAAAAGAACAAAAATGTCACTTTCTGAAAGATGGAAAAAGAAGCGCGGCCCGTTTCCTCCCCAGAGCGGCCGTGACGGCGGCGAATCTCCCCCTCACCTGAGACGGAGAGAAGAGAGAAGGCATCAGAAACGTCCCCGCTGACATACGAGAAAAGGAAATCAGCTTCCAATTGGCACCAAACCACCAACGTCATCAAATGAAGTCAGCCAGATGTTCAGAAACAAATATAAGTAATAATAAGGATGAAGTTTGCATCTGTGAATCTTCTGTTTTCGCAGCGAGTCACGTGAGGATGAATGAATGAATGAACTTTAATTCCAGTGCTGAGAGGCGAATATGAGAGATACGAGATATGATCCTTCACGAGCATTCAGCTGTCTGTGTTTTCACTGGATACTATTTTATATTATTAGGATTCAGACTGTTTGATAAACGATACAGAATCAGAGCGACGAGACAACTTGAAAACACAACACGCATGTTTGTAAAAAGCACTTTGTGACGTGCAAACGGAGAATGCAGCCCGGGGAGGTTGTGGCACAGACGAGGATGCCGTGGTGACGCACACACACACACACACACACACACACACACACACATTCCTGCCTTTCATTGAACTCGCATTCCTCTCTCGCGTCTGAGCAACACAGCGCGGGGGTGTTTGATTCATGCCCCCGGGTGTAGCAGGCGGGAGGGGCTTAGCAGCATCGGAAAGCTGCGGCGGGCCCCGCCCTTCTGGCACGGGAGTGGATAAAACAAACGCACCCTGCCAGGGTCGAGCCCAGAGAGTATGGAACCGTTACCCTGAACATATCGTCGCTGTGTATTTCATTAAATACATTTTACTTTAATTTCACGAGCTTAACGATGAGGAACACGCAGCAGCATGTCGACCGCTTCGCCCGCCATCGATGACGGATGATCGATTCCTGATGTCGGGGACAGAAGTCATTTGAAGCCTTTTCCGTTTCTAGAAGCAGAAGCTTCATGGAAACATTCAAACTTTCCTTCTTCTATCAGAACAGACGGGGGAGGCAGCAAGCGTCCCTCCCCCCCCTCCCCCACCGGGCCTTTCATCCATCTAACTTTACCTCACCGGGGGGCTGCTGCTATTTCAGGAATCAAATAAACGTTTGGTTTTTTTCCCTAAATTTGTACCAGAAGTTCAGTGTTTGTCAGCGAAGCCAAAACTCACACAGCTCCACACACACGACGGGTGGTCGGGGGGAGGGAGGGGAGGGAGGGGGAGGCTCAGGTACACCGAGCGGTTAGCATCGGCTAACATGGGTTCATCCTCAGAGGACCAGGACTTTGTTTAAAGGGTCTCACCGTTCATCCAGTCATCTTCCTCTCTCTCCTCGAGTGTCCCTCCTCCAGCCAGCTGCCGAACACCTCCCGCACTCCCCCATTCTGTCCCCCGCTCTTCAGCTCCACCGAGGTCTCCTGTCTCAGCCTGTGGGGGGGAGACAGTCATCAGTACACACACGCTGCTGGTCCAGGTCTGATCCAGGGGGGTCCTTTCAATACATATGCGTATATACTTTGTTAGTGGTCAAGTTGGACACCTCGAGGACGCAGAAATATTAAACGTAGAAACAACTACAAGAAATGTGATGTTTTGAAAAAATGTAATGCCTTTATTTTGTCTTCACATGAATGAATGAAATGAAAACACCAATTGTGTCCAGCAACATGGAAGATTTCATTTTATAAATAAGTATATATATTTAATTTATATACACATATATCGATCACTTCTCAATCTGCCAGAGACTCGTCCCCACAGTTGAAGGTAAGATACAAAATATCTGGCACGGATTCATTTTTAGATAAAAACAAACAACAAAAATCGAATCTGACAATTTTTTTTAGAAACAAAAGGAACTGTCAATCATGTATTAAATATTTAGACTTCTGAGGTTCTCAATCCGATTAAACACAAGTGGGTCACAAGTGGGCCATTGTTTTTTTAATTATGAGGAGTATTTATTAAATTCAGGAGGAGCACTTAATGTCGGCACTTGGTTTTTAATAATCAAGTTTTACTTTTACCCTTAAGTAGGCAGCAGATGACTTATTATTCTCATTATCAATTAATCTGTGGATGATTTGATCGATTCATTGTTTGTTTTTTTCCTTTAAATGTTTGTTTAGTCCAGAACGCAAAAATATTAATCAGAGAAATGAAGGACATCTCCACATTTAAGTGGGAGAAAAACATTGATTTTTTCATTACTATTTATTAGAAATAAATTGATTATCAAAACAGCAGCTTGATTTCCCTTCATATGATGAGATCAGATCCTTCAGCAGAGTCTCGCTGCATTTACTGCCAAGAAGCAGGAAGGACTCTGAGCTACAACGCTGCAGCGTCGTCTCATTACTCAACGCTGTGCTGTCGGTGCAGGTTCACACCGTGGTGCCGTCTCGAGCCGACCCGCGGGGAGGATTAAACCCTCGCCCAAATTATGGCGCCGATATTGGTTTCCTGGTAATGGCTGCGTTATTTGGCCAAAGATCTCCTGAGCTCCCCCTAACCCTCTTTGTGGGTTAATGTCCCGAAAACATTCTAACCTCTACAGGAGCTTCTGCGCTATAGTTTCACCAAACACAAACCACCTCCTGGCCACATTTAAGCCCCGCCCCTTTGTATGATTTAAAGTAAGGCTTTATAAAATATGTTGCCATTGTCTTCTTAATGGATAAAGTACGGTACCTGCCAGCCAGCCGGTCTTGGAGTTCATCCCGTTGTTGACTGCTGAGCCAGCCCAGCTCCACCTGCAGCACCTTCCTGCTGCTGCTGTTGTTGGCCAAGGGTCCTTCCTGACAGCGCTGGAGGACGCCGATGGAGGCGCTCTTGGGTCCCTGTCCTCCGTTCACTCCGTTGTTGTGAAAAAGTTCTGACAGCTCCGGGCCGCCACTCTGCAGCCGGCCGTCGTTGAACCAGCGGGCCAATTCGGCGCGTCCCGTCCGACCGTCCAGCTGGCTGAACTCCTCAGGGGAAGGCCACCGGGTTTGAGCAAAATCACCCACGAGGAGCGCCAGGGATCGGCCGTCTGGAGGAACCGAGCAGGCATTCAGACTGGGGACAGGGGGGGTATTGATGGGCGGGGCGGAAACAAGGTAGAAGAGGGCTTTTGAGATGGCCCACCCCCAGCGCTTGCCTTGTGAATCCCGTTCAACTGGAGAGTTTGGTGCTGCTGGTGTAGTTTTTTCTTGGTGATGCCCGCGCCCATCCCTCTTGGTGCCCCATGGAGTTGAGAAGGGCTTGTTCCAGGTTGTCGCGTAGCGCTCGGCGCTCCACGAACCAGCTGTCGATTTCCTGGTGTGACAGCCGGGTGGTGCCCGCCAGATTGTCCACGTCGCTGAGCGTAGGGAAGCTGTTGCTCAGGAAGTTCTCCTCCAGGACCTTCAGCTGTTCTGCCGTCTTTCCTTTCATCCTCTCTAGCAAGGGGAACTGGGTCAGCACCGAGGACTTTTGATGAAAGTCCGGTTTCAGCGCCGCTAGCAACCCATCAAAGTGTTGGACCCCATTGTTGTGAGCAAGTGGGGTTTGATCGTGGGGCCATTTGCCGTCCGTGCGAGATGTTCCGTTGGCCTCGGCCAGAGGAGTGAGGACCTTATCCCCTCTGGGGTAGCAGGCTTTCCCCTCCCCTCCCTGCTGCTCTTTCCTGCTGTCCAAAAGGTACCCTGAAATCTGGGTCGGAGGTTTGGCCGGAGCACGAATGGACTGGATGATAGTCGGCCTCCTTATTTCTGGGGCGACGGGCGGCGAGGAGTTTGGCAGCTCATGATTGGCAGCTGGCAAAGCGTGGGAATTCTGGTGCTTCTCTTTGGGAGTGATGGGAGCATTAAGAGGAAAAAGCATTGAGTTTTTATACGGCGGAGCGAAGATAGGCGGGGGAACTATCAGTGGCCTGGTTAAAGACTCGGGAAAGACTAAGGAGGGCAGCGAGACCACCGGTTTTGTTTTGGGGTTTCCGAACGTCGAGAGGACCTTCCCTTTGGACAGCAGGGACGACGACTGTGGCATTAAAGGCACGGCAGCGGATGGCCTCTTTGTCTCTGTGGTGAACAGAGAAACTGCTACAGGTCTCTTCATCTCCACAGGAACAGGAGGCGGAGCCATCGAGAGGCGGTCTTTCGGCGGGGGAGGGGGCGGAGGAGCCATGAGGCCCCTGTCTTTAGCGTCCCCGGAATGGGGAGCGACGGCCATGATGGGTCGCTTCGACTCCGGGCCAAACACCGTGGTCAGGTATGTCGGCAGCGACCGCTTAACAGAAGGGCGGGAGCTAACCGCGACTCCGGCAGGAGGGTTTGTGCCCGCGACCGCACTCAACCCGCTGGACATGGCAGTCTGCACGTGGCCGACGGTGGTGTGGACGAAGGTCTGCTGGGAGGATTTGGCAGACGGCTGAGAGAAGGTCGTCGCAGGCAGGGTGGTGAACGTGTGATGTGCAGGAGGGATGGAGCCGTTGAACATCTTCTTCCTGGCTTCTTCCACCTCCTCCGGGGACCAGGTGATGCCTTGCTTAAGCCGCTGGGTGGTGAACCAGACCTTAATCTGGTCCTCTGGGTGCTTGGAGGCGGCCGTCAGCCACGACAGCTCGGCGTGCGTTGGGTAAGGGAACTTGTTGAAGGAGGTGATCAACGTTGAGTTGTCGTCCAGAGAGGGGTTATATTTGGTGGTGTTCAATGGAACAGCTATTTTTGGTACAGAGTTGAAGTTGGGTGGGCGCTTTAGCATCGGGGCGACGTGGGAGACCCCCTTGAGGACGGTGGGTTCGGGGATGATGACTGTCCCGTTGATGTTCACCGCTGTGATTTGATCCTTCTGGACCTGGATCAGGTCGTCCCTCCGGCCGTTCTGGGTTGTCACCGCGGGCGATATGCAAGCCGGAAACGCGTAGCCGGCGTTGCCTTCCCCCACTTTGCTGCTCACTTCGCATTCAACGGACTTGTTCCCGCTTTCAATTGTCTGCTCCAAGATGGTCTGATTGTTCCGCTTTATCCTCTTGAACTTGAAGTTTGTCTCGCCCGGGTGCTGGCTCTCGTTGTGCTCCGTGAGCGAGTCGAACTTCTTGGCGTTGAAGTTGCAGGCGGCGCACAGGTACATCGGATTGAGGATGACGTTTGGGTGACTGGAGTCCACGTGCACCTTGAAGTCATTCAGGTGCTGCGTGGAGAACGGGCAGTACTTGCACTCGTAGCCCCTGGGCTGCTTCCTCCGGGACGCCGGGTTTGAGTCGACGTCTTGTCCGTCCTTCTCCTCAGTGGCTTCCTCATCTTCAATGATGGGAGGTTGATCCATCTCACTCGACTGCTCCTCTTGTTCTGATGGCTTGAGATTCTGGTTGGCCACTGTTTTTGTTTCCCTTTGTCGGTCTGGATTCTCCAAATTCTCCTCCTGTGGATCTTGGCGCTTTCCTGCAGATTCAGATGATGATTCTGATTGTTCTTTTTCTGCCGCCTCCCCGTCTGCCAATACTTCCACGTCCATCGGCCCCTCAGGGTCATCTTGCTCTTCGGGCGGTTCGCTGACGACCCGGACCATGCAGGGGGTGGAGGACTTCCTACGACTGGACATGATGGTTGCTGCTGGTGGTGGCGATAGTGCTGGTGTTGCTGATTGCGTTGAAGACACCGTGTTTTTTGGCTGCTGCGACTGCTTCTGCTGGTGCTGGCAGAGAACGTCAGCGCGTCTGCTTCTGAAAGGTTCTCACTGGGGCGAATCAGAGCCGCCGGCTGTGGATTCTGGGAGGTGGGCGGAGTCGAAGGTTCCAGCCTGCGAGAGGGAGGGCGATAACCGGCTGACGGGGCCGGCCCAGCACCGGCTGTGCAGTGGCGTCACCCGCTCAATAGCAGTGTCAGCTACCGACGTGGTCGTCATGAGAGGGCATCACGACAGCAGCGACTCTCGAGCTGAGAGAGACAGAGAGAATTACATGTTAATGCCGCTTGTGAAACATGTTAGGGACAAACATAGAAGTTTGTGTGAAGTGATGCGCTGCATTCACCCAGAATAAGACAAAGAACGGGAAGTGAGTATGATGGGCGGAGGCAGAAGGGTAAAAAACACGTCACTTTCACTTTTGTAAACAGAAAAAATACACTTTTGGTTCTATTTGTTTAGAACATGCGAGATCAACGCGGGAGCGAGGATAAAAGGAAGGAACATCAACAGAGATTTTTAGTCCTACTTGGGTCACTTGTACTGAAAATAAATGCAGTCTCGTACTATTAAGTGCTTTGGATCAAATGCTCCTTCAAAGAAAGTAAGTTGGTTATGAAGCAGCTAAAACCCCCGAGAGTTCAAATATGACACATGAATGACTGAACTTTTCATGAAGCCTGTGTCTTCTGATCCATCATAAAAATACATACAATGGATAATAGTTGGTCATAGAACTGATTATTTATATTGCTTAAAACTGCCAAGGACCTCACTGAGTAACTTATAATCACATTAACAGTGGTTATAAATGCATCATTTAGAGATTATGATGTATTATAAAAATGTTAATTATAATCATCATTACAAAAAATAAAAATGTGCAGTAGTTATTAAGTATTAGTAGATCTTGAAATAGAATTCTTTATAATGTATTTTGATCGCTGATAAAGAAGCTATAGATAGTTTTTTGTTCTGATGTTGGACTGATGAAGTGAAATCAGTAGTCCAACATCAATAAAAAAAACATTATTAGTTAATAACTAATTCTAAATGTATTATTTCAAAAAAGAAATTCAAAGAAAGACAAAACATTGGACGCCTAATACGTCTGTGGTAGCAACCGGTCAATCACTGTAAGCCCCGCCCTAAAGTATCACTTCCTTTATGGTCTGTTTGACTCTAAATGAACCATCATTTACTAAATGATGCTGTATTGAAGAAGACTAGAGACTGAGACCATAAACTCATGTTTACAACGTTTACTGAGGGAATAAATCCAGAGAGAAGTAGAGTCATTTCCTCATAGACGTCTATGGGAGCAGAGGAGTCGCCCCCTGCTGGTCACTACAGAGAAGTAGAGTCATTTCCTCATAGACGTCTATGGGAGCAGAGGAGTCGCCCCCTGCTGGTCACTACAGAGAAGTAGAGTCATTTCCTCATAGACGTCTATGGGAGCAGAGGAGTCGCCCAGAATGCAGCTTTAACGGGTGGAGCTGATGAATCGAGGCCCAGTAAGTAAAGTTAAAAAGAATAAATAGAATAAAAACAGCCTCACTGAGAACTCAGACGCTGCGCCCGAAAATGACACTGAATCCAAGAACCACTTAATCAGGACACGGCGTTCCACACCAATCACATGTGGACGCAATATACTCAAGAGTCCACTGCAACTACAAAAGTCTCCAAACCCCATTAAAAAGACATTAAGTGTCTTTCATAGATTCGGGCAAAGACAACTTCACAGGATAATTACCCTTTAATCACGTAATAAGAGAGACTCAGCGACGAGATCTCCTGACAGCCATCATGCACACAATGAAGGAGAGAGACACCAACAACACAGAGGCAGGAGAGAGAGAGAGAGGGAGGGGGGGAGGGAGAAAAGGGGGAGAACAGGTGTAAATAAATACGAGAAGACAGGGAGGAAACAAGAAGGACAAATGCAGGTAGACGCAAGATAAAAAGAGTCAGAAGAGGGAGGACGTGAGAGAGCGCCCCCCAGGTGAGAGACGTCTAACTGGGCCGTGCACAGGGAGGGGGAGGGGGGGGAGAAAACTCAAAGAGGGAGGAAATACAGACAATCTAACACATTCATATTAACTAAAGGAAATACCACAAAAGTCATGTGACAAAATTAGGTTTTGGTGCATTTTATATCTGCAGTCTTTGTAAAGGTGGAGGAGGGGGTGAGGAGGGGAGGGAGGAGCACATTTGGCAGAAAAATGGAGCGGTTCTCAACACTTAATTAGTCCCGTCCAAGCTGTTATTTGTCCCCAGTGTCACTTATGGTTGGACATGTTTCAGGCGTGTTCGGTGTCCGATGAGATCTACTCCCACCCAGAACACGGATTCATTACCACGTAACCCCAATGCTGGTTAGCAACCGACCCGCAACCGCGTCCCAGAGGGAACCAGAGTCAGTGGGACCCGATCCGGATAGAGGACCATCACAACCTAAATATGGAGGCGAAGGTCAGGCGGTCACCTGGAGACAAGAGGACCTCTGAAGCCCTGCAGAGCGTCGGGCCACGAGGAACGTTCTCATTTCTGATTAAAAAAAACATAACTCTAAATGAAACAGACCTTTGTGTAACTTGAGTTGAGGTTCACTTGAGCAAACGACTGGTAGATTATGTTTTTAAATATAGAGGATTATCTAATGCAGTATTTGCTTAGAAACTACTTCTGATGGTGGCGTCTATGTGTACATTGAATATTGTGCGGTTAACCCAAATCCCACGCAAAATAAATACCATAATAACATTTTTTGAAAGGTTTACACTATTTTAATACAGCAGTTTTTCATCCAGACGAGACGGTTCATTCCCGGCTCTCTGGAATCCAACATTTACATTTTATTTTTTTATCTGACACTTTTATCCAAAGCGACTTACAATAAGTGCATTTTAACCATAAAGGACACAAACTCAGAAGAACAAGAAACAAGAAAGTGCGATTTCATCAAATAAGCCGATGTACAACTTGCTGTAGATAAGAACCATTATAAGTCCAATGTAAGTGCTACAGTTAGTTAGTGTGTTAGTGGAGGTAGAGTCTGAAGAGGTGTGTCTTTAGTCTGAAGATGTGAAGGCTCTCTGTGGTCCTGATGTCTTCAGAGACCTCCTTCCACCATTTAGGAGCAGGACGCAAAGAGTGGAGATTTACCAAGAACTCGTAGAACCAGTTACACCCCGTAGTTACACATCCCAGTTTAAACTGGTGCTAAGCAGCTCCTTGATGCAGCCGGATTAAAGTTTTATTCATGGATAATACAATAACCGCTGCTCGGAGCAGAAACTCGGACCAGATAATGTGAATTTCCATTCATGTGTTCTACTTCTGTTCGTGCCAGTTTGCCTAAAAATACTCTGGAAGAGACCCAGATGCTGCCGAGGTGAAAAGGCCAAGGAGACATAAAAGAAGAGGGAAAGAGTGTGGGAGGAGCAAAGAAGAAGACATCGGAGGCCATGGCGTTTGGGAAGAGGAGGAAGAGGAGGAAGAGGAGCGAGCTGCGCCGATGGGCCGTAAAGTCAGAGCAGAATGTAGGAGGTAGGAAACAGAAAAGAGACTTCTGAACGGACCGGAGGAGCTAGAAGAAGAAGCGTTGTCACGGAGAGGGAAGCAGAAATAGAAAAGAAGAAGAATGAAAAACAAAACCACAGAAAACACTGTCGATGTCACTGGATCGGCCTCGAGTACTGACAAAAGGAGGGGGGGTCATATGCTCCTTGGCTGCGTCCCATTTCTCCTCAGTCACACGTCCGTCCGTCCATCCATCCGTCCATCCATCTGTCCATCCGTCCATCCATCCGTCCGTCCGCCCATCCATCCGTCCGTCCGTCCGCCCATCCATCCGTCCGTTCGTCCGCCCATCCATCCATCCGCCCATCCATCCATCCATCCATCTGTCCATCCGTCCGCCCATCCGTCCATCCATCCATCCATCCGTCCGTCCGTCCGCCCGCCAATCCGTCCGTCCGTCCGCCCGCCCATCCGTCCGTCCGTCCGTCCGGCCATCCGTCCATCCATCCATTTGTCACGTCTGTCCGTCCATCAGCCCATCCATCAATCCTTCAATCGGTCCATCCATCCATCCATCCGCCGGTCCATCCATCCATCCAAGGACGAGCCGGAGACTGAAAGCGTCGCAGAGGAAGGAGGTAATGAGGACACGTCTCTGGAAACAAAAGATCTGAAGGTGACGAGTGTTCCTGATGGCGGGGGGGTTAAGACGTTAGTTACTGGAGCAAACAGGGTCAAACAGGACGGGACAGAGACCCTCAGAAAGGAAGCCACCCGAGGGAGGGAGGGGGGGGTACTGGACCTCTCAGCCCACCAGACACCCCTCAGCTAAGTTTTATCACCGCTGTTCCTGGGGGGGGGGGGGGTAGACGAAGCGAAGGAGAGACGGTGATAAGACACTGTCGTCTGGAAACTAAAGGCGTCCCAGATTTAGTGCCCCCCCCCCACCCCCCGGGCAGCTGAGTGTGAGAATATACGTGTGTGTAGGGATGCTGAATGATTGATCAAAGGACGCCTTTGTGTAGGCACCTCGTGCTGCTAATGCATCATTAACACAGCTGGCAGTGTGACCCAGCTCTCTGGGGGGGGCGGGGGGGGCTATTTCCAGCTTCCTCTTAAGCTTATAGAGATACAAATCTCACTGCTGGTTATATAAGACTGCCTACAGAAAGGACGTCATGAGTGGTTTTTACCTCAGGTTGTTCCGGCGGGGGGGGTTTAAACCGCAGTTTGTGTTGAAAAATCCCTTTCTCCTGAGAGATAATCTGTTGAAACGTGGCTGTGGCGGCTCGGACAGTCACACGCGTCACCCGAGCATCGCCACGCACAGGGTTCGGCTTCCTCACCGACCCGGCAACCGTCGCTATCGAGCCCAGCGTGAGGAAATAAAACAATGCCAAGCATCCAGATCAAACAGGAAGTCAGTTCAGCTCCGAGTTGTCATTCATTCACCTCGACATAACAGAAGCATCACCCGCCGCGGCCCCTCCGGAGGCCCGCTGAGGACCCTGAGAGGGGCCCGGCGCCTCACGTTGGGAACCATGGACCTCTGAGGCCAAACGGCACTTTAAACATGAGAAGCGATGAATGTGAGGGGGGGAATGCGCCGGGAAACCTTGCGGTTCCCGGCGCAGCCGCTCTGCTCCACGTGCCACCGCTGCCCCGCCCGTATCAGCTGATTATCAGACATTCTTCATGGTATCAAAGGTCATTTACTTCTTTTGTT